TTCCGAGAACTTTGTCGTTTTTCTGCTCGGGCAGCTCTGAAGGGTCTGTTTGACTTTCTCACTTTGCAAGAATTGCCTGGTGAAATGTCCACGTTTTCTGGGGGTAATTACAGTTACAGTAACCACCTAGTAGGGCTAGTAACCATCTAGTAGGGCTAGTTCTGAGGTGCACGTAGATTAACCAAGCACAGATAAGTGTGTCGGCAGGAAAATGGTAACTTTAGGAAGAGGGAGAGAAGGGACCTCCTGGGAGGCTGAGCGCTGCAGGTCGAACCACAAACACACCTTCTGGAGAAAGTCTGGCAAAGAAGTTGGCTTTTGGTGTGGGCCTGGAAACAGGCTGAATCTTTTTGGCAGGGTCAAAGGGCTCACACTTAGCGTATACTATTAGATATTTAAATACTAGGAGGAACAAATGAATTGCCAATTAGAAGTTAATTAAACACAGACAGATAAACAGCTCCTTTTTTGTCACTGCGAATGCTCGGTCTGTAAGAACTGGACACCAGTTTAGTGTTTCAAATACACCGATGAAAGCTGTAAAGACAGCAGAACCCAGTTGATCTGCTCTGGTGGAACAAAGTCTGTCTCCTCCTACATGCAGTTGTAGGCACTGGCTGTCCTGGTCCTGCTTTGGAGAACCTCTTCTGGGGCTTAATGCAGGCTCTGCCTGGGCGAGGTGACCTGACTGGGTGCTGCTCTGCACACGAAGGGTTTGGAGTTAATGGGGGATGAGCTTCAGCCCCTGCAGCGCTCCAACTTCTGGCGTTTCTAGGATATGTACTGCTCGTAGTAGTGCCCGTCAGTGAGCGCTTTCCTCGGAGGTCGAGGCTGGAATGATGTGTGATGAGTCACTCCTTAGCAGTGGGGTAAGATTGCTCCTCCATCTCTTACAGGAGATACCAGAGCTCAGTGCCAGAATAATGTCCTCCTTCGTCTTGCTTGATTCTTTACCATATTTCACAAGAGATTTTTGTGCAATTTAGGCAGTGTGTAATAAAAAATTTGGGAAGACGACCTACTTCCATCGGTTCGTTTATGCAGAGTTCTCTGTACCGAAGCATGAGACCTGGTGGTGCTGACAAACAGCAAACCTCCTGCTGCCTGCCCAAAAAATGAACCTTGGGAGGCTGTTCGTGTCTCTTCATCCTCTTCTTTTCCTGGTGACGCGGAGATTTGCGTGGAGAATTCCTGACTGTTCAGACCTAGGAATTCTCCCTGCTGCGTACATGAGAGAGCAGTTAGATTCTGCTTATGAGACTCTATACAATCTTCTGATGCCATTGGTAGTTTGATTTTTTTTTTTTTAATGACAACTTTTGGTTTCTCAGGAATTTTCACAAGTTAGAGCTACTTTTGAGTCCTCGCTGAGAAGGGAAGAGTTACTTATGTAGAGACATTTAATTCTGGGTTTGTATTTAGAGCAGTCCTTAACAAGTCATGCGTTTAATTTCACTATGATAGATGGGCTGAATAGAGGAAGTGGGGGTCGGAAAGTGGGTGCTGGCTGATAACCTGAACTTTCTTACAGGAAATTCAGAATAACTACTTATTTGTGCAAATGGAGCAAGTTCTCCTTGCAGAGAGCTGTGTGTTTATGTGTTCAAACATAACACTGTTCTCTCCTGATGTATTATCATTGTAAAATTTAAGGCTGTTTTGTCATTTTGGCACTTAGACTTAGACTCCTAACTTACATTCTGAAGTAGAGAACTGTTGTCCTGCAGTAGGCTTTTTTGTTTGTCAGTTTGTTCTGAAGCCTGACTTTTGTATTGTATTAACTTTTCGGAGTTTAGTCCAAAAGAGATTCTTCCTCCAAAACCTGTGAAGAAAGACAGAGAGCAGAGACCACGACACTTACTCACGGACCTCCCGCTCCCTCCAGAGCTCCCTGGAGGGGATCCATCTCCTCCCGACTCCCCGGAACCAAAGGCAGCCACACCACCTCAGCAACCATTCAAAAAGAGACCAAAGTAAGACTGGCTTGCTTTTTTTCCCTCTTTTTTGAGTTGGTAGGTTTTCTGTCGGTCTGAGTTTCCAAAGGTTTAAGTCTCAGTGTACGCTGCAGCCCTCCTAGCAGAGCTGACACCGTGTTCTGTGCGGAGATGGTGCTGTTGAAAGCACAGTCATTTTTGAAATTGAATCTGGGAGCTGCTTTGCCAGTTTTCAGCAGCCTCCCCCCATTTATTGGATGGGGAGAACACTTAACGTGCACTTACTTGTTAATCCTTAGCCAGATTTAGTTCAGTTTTATAAATTCTTTTGTCCTCAGGCTCGTTGGAGTGCTGTCTTTTATTGAGGGAAGTGAAACGTGGAGAAAACAAATTCCTACTTCTGTTTTTTCTTGTGGTGCATTAACTGTTTCCTGTGGGTTGTTTCATATTTGGACCACTCATAGTCAAAGGCTGCGTGCCCCATCTGTTTGAGAATGAGCAGTGCAGCAGTTTGGGAAGAAGGGGAGGTCGTGTAAATCGTGCACCAAAGGGATGCTGCAGTTCAGGCTCTGCACTGAAGCTGTGACGGGTTCTGTCGTCCTCCCCTTTGGCCCTTGCAGTGGCAGGAATCACCAGAGGGTCATGTTCAATCTCCAGCCACATCTCCCCCGAAAGCTCCCTCGTCATTTGGTGCAGCTGTGCCTGCTGGCCAAAGAAACCTCCTGATGAGTATCCCTATGGAAAGCTCGTGGTGCTTCTAGGAATTGGTCATCCTGAATAGGAGGCAAACGCCTTTTCTTCATGCAAGACTGGAGTATTGGTCGTGTTGCAAGGCATACAGGACTTCCCTGAAAACAGAATTCATGGAGCTGTCAAGGGAGCAGGCTCCCTCGGTGTTTTCCATACCAAGTGCTCACTACGCTTGCTTTTAAATAAAAATCAAATGTCCAGTGTTTCTGCAAAAGATTCCAAACCTTGATTTTTATCCTACTGTAGCATCGTTCTTTAGTATTTTTTAGGTCAAGATTCTGGTTTGGTTCTGCTTCAGGCTGCTCAGTTAAAAGTCTATAATGAGATCTCTGTAGAAATCTGTGTAGCTAACTGCGTGCCCCAGGTAGGCTGTAGCAAAATGCTTCTGCCACCTCAAAGTCTGTGGAAAAGACATGGCATAATATCCATTTTGCTCGTCTTCTCCACTCTTTGCACTCCTTATTTCCCCAGGAGAGACAATGTATTGCTCGTTAGCCGTATGTAGCTGATAAATGCAGAACTGAAGTGAAAAGATCTGCTAGTGAGAGTGTTCCGGCTGGCACGCTTTAGTATCCGAATGAAATGGAAGGATAATATTGCTGTATAGCAGTGCCTGTGTCTGGAGCAGTGGAG